GGCAGCAACAGAGCAATTTTCGAAATTCCTTCCGGAACACGCCATTGGTGAAAGTGTAAATAATGGGATTTACTGAAGCGCTAAGAAAAAAGATAAAAATTTTAACCAAAGCTGCAATTCTTGGGCAGGTTTCAGGGGAAAAACGAAACCAGAGGACTATTGCCCACATTGGTATCCAGGAACACAAAAATCCCACGGCCACGATGAACAGCATTCGAGTAAGATTGATTTCTCTCACTGAGTTCTTTAATGCATCATTGTTATTTCTGTTCTGTAACGAACTGAATACATTCTGTTGATGCTCATTGATTTTGAGAAATATCTTATAGTAACTAAAAGTACCGATGCACAACGGTACAACAAAAAACAATCCGACAGTGAGACAGTAATGAACGATTTGACTTTCATCACTTGGATAAGAAAAGGCGCACAATGCAAAGCTTTGAACGAAATTAATTGTGATCCAATTTGTGACTCGGACAATCAGCAGGTATAGTGCAAGGAAAAGCCACAAGCAACTCAGCCATATCTTAGATCTTCGGGGTGAAAAAATCTTATTGTAGTAGTTCGTCTTCACAATTTTCACGTAACGGTTAAACGCTGTCAAACTAAGGGTGGCTGGGGTCACGTAATAGGCGAATTCAGCAACAAAGCCTTGAATTTGGCATAACGCGTTGCCAAAGTCCCATTTTCCAACGATCAGCGTTGAAGAAGCTAACGGTATTTCGATGGTTGCAACTAACAGGTCACTGACTGCTAAGGCAACGATGTACAGGTTGGTAGTGGATCGCAGTTTAAGGTTTCTGTAAGCTGCTATACAAACCAGACTGTTTCCAATGAGGCTCGTAATGTTGAGAGCAACGCATATGCTTGCCTCAATTATAACAACAGCTAAGCTTCGACTTGGTAGCTCTAGGTTTGACATCTTGTCTACTTGAAAAAGCATAATGAATGAATAAGTGAATAAACAACTGATTTTCTTTCCAATACTTCAGGCTGTCTAGAAAAGCTCAATTTTTTTTACAATTACGAACTTAAAATGCAGTTTGCAATCAAGCATGCGTTTTCAGGTCGGTCCTAATGTATGTTTGAGGCGCGTCGCCTACCAATCTTTCATACCAGTTTCGAGTCGTGCATAAAATTAAAATCAACACAAATTTTAGGCAGCCCATGTATGCTCTACAGCTAAATCTTGTTATCAATATATTATTTGAACGCATCTCCACTGTTGCATTTAAGGGAAGAAGACAACGTATTTTGAAAATATCTTTACATTAACAAATAACAACTAAAACGTATCATATGGGTTAAACATGGCCTTCACTGAGTCCTAGCATTTTAGATGTAATTGTCACAGAATAGCATTGTATTTCAGAAGCTATATCTTTTTATCACATAAACTGCGGTGTTATACAGGGATTTCCGGCCCTGAGAAAAGCCGTAACAACACACGTGAAAAAATATCGTATTTTTTCACGTGTGTTGATGTAGCCAATCAGCTGCTGACGTCACTCGCCTTTGGCACCACTCGGTCAGGTTGATGAATGAACGGCAAAGTTTTCACGATTCTCAATACAAGTTGTTTGTCGGAGCTTTCTCGAATTATGGCGGCTAAAACACTAAAAATTCCGTATCGCTGACAGACAGCGAGATTCAAACTTTCCTAGAAGGGGAAGAAAACTAATATACTAAAAGAAAAACCGAAAGTCATGTACTCAGTGGCTTTGGTGTTGGCATTTCTTTCGGCTGAGAGTGAAAATCGACAACTGGAAGATTTGCCACTAGCTGATTTTGGCCGTTTACCTGAAAAACTTCTGTCGGTAAGGACAAAGTCAATAAATGAGAATTTGGTAAATTAACAATTACGACCATTGTTGTTTTTGTAATCATGATTCAACGCATTTTTCCATCATAAGAGTCAGCGCCAACGCACTTTACGATTGTTATTTGGGGATTGTCGATTCCTTTATTTTCATTCATTAATGAAGTCGGCTTTTCTTGTCAGTAAAGGGCTATTGTGTTTATATGATAAAAAAAAATAATACATTGTTGCTTGTAGATATGGAATTTCTCTTCTCGCGTTCAACTCGACATCTCACTCGTTCGCTGCGCTCACTTGTGAGCTATCGAGTTGAACACTGGAAGAGAAATTCCATATCTAAGCGCGCCCTTGTATTATTCCCTATTTATCACTTCTTACTGGATTTTTGTTTAATCCATACAAACATTAAAAAGTATGGTGTTCCTCCTCAGTAGCGAAAATAGTTTTTAGTGAAAAGCGAATGGATAAGTAAATAATTTTCATAACCTACCTTATCTAGAAAAAATTCTTATATGAATCCTGGGGTTCTTTATAATGTTCCGGCAAAAGTACTTAGAATCGAACGAGGAGTTTGCATTGTGAAATCAGCACTTCAATCATAAGCTGTACACGGCCGAGCTCTCAATAATCTTTCCTAATATGTTCAAAACAGAAAGAAAGATACCTTTAATTACTTTTATGGCTCAGGGTGGTCTTTTTCAGCCGCTTTGTCATTCCATGTAAAGGCTTTTTATAACTTTCCGACGATAACACTCCGAATCAAACAAGGCTTTCTTATTGCAAAAATCGGCATTTTATGGGTTATGCAAAGCCGTTGAATAAGAAAACAGGAGATCGCGCACTGAATAATTATCTTTAGTAATATTTATAATAAAGTTCGGATATAACGCGCGCTGTCATTGGTTGAAAGAGCGTGCTCTATGAGAGTATAGAGCATAGAGCTGAGCTAAAGCTGTCACCCCATCTGCCAAATTGTGCTATGTTCGACCTTTTCCGGGACTTCTTTTTAGCTTTTTTCCGATAATTGAAAGTGAAGTTTCGGAACAAGCGAGCCGGCAAGTAGCAACAGAAGAACCAAATAAAGGTTTGTAAACATACCAGGCGCCGTAATTTACGTTATTAAAACGTGAGCAGATACGAAAATCCTCAAAGGAAAAACAAAATAGACATTCCGAGTTTTAAAGATTAATTCACGCTCAGTTAGATTGCAAGCTTACGTACGGAAATAAAAATGAAACACAACTAATACTCATATAGTATTTAAAGTTCAGTGTTCAAAAACAAAACAGAACAAAACAGAAATGATGAAAAATATAACCAAACTGGCATAACTGTTAAAATTCATTCTAATCATGACGGTGTCTGAGCGAATATGATCATGCTGAAGTCCATCGCGGCTCGCTCATCATGGCGATCTCCGGTCATCACAGTAAAGCAAGTCTAAGAAACTATATCGGTCGCCTTTCGAGTGAAAAAATAAGAGCTTGCTCTGATATCCTTTCCGATGCGTTGAGTGGAAAGTCACTGCAGCCGAGTTTTGCCGTATCCCGAGCGATCTTCATGTTTCGGTGAATTCGGCTGTCGTTCATTCAAAAAACACTCGCCTTGAACAGTTTGTTTCATACCTTGTCATGTGAAAAAAAACTCGCGTGTTTTTATGAGCCATAATTCGGTTGAAGTTTACTGAACATTTCGCTTCAAGATTCTGTATTAGAGACTTAAAAACTTCAGGCAAAAGTGTTAAATTCGACTTACCGAACTATTTTAGTTTGTAAACGATCGCATAAGGTGAACTTTGATGGTTTTTGAACTTTGATGATTTGACACTTTTGACAGCTTTAGTCTTGTACAGCCAATCAGATTATTTCAACCATTCTAACAGGGATTCTGATTGGCTTATTGTAGCGTGCTTTATGAGGGTATAGAGCATGCTGACGACACTGTTCTTCGCTTTGGAAATAAAGTTTGTTTTGAAAATTGAAAGTAATGCTCGTGGAATTTAATGGATTCTTTATTATAAAACAAATAGAGAAGCCTTGACTGTGCTCTGTTCTGTTATAAAGCACGCAGGAAGCGGCTAGAGCACTCAAGAAGTGGGGAGAAACACGAGACGTAGTCGAGTGTTTCTCCCTACACTTCTTTCGTGCTCTAGCCGCTTCCTGCGAGCTTTATAACAGAACAGAGCACAGTCAAGGCTTCTCTATTTGTTAAATACAAAATGGACGCATGATTTTCTGTTCCTTAGTTCTTGTATAAAGATTGGTAAAAAAAATAGAATGGATCCATAAAAAATATGGATAGTGAACTAACCCGTGGCTGATAATAATTTGTCATCTGATTTAAAATAAATGATTTTATAGCCTACCTCATCTATGACAACCTTCTTATACGGATCCTCTATCTCTTCATAATTTTCCCGGGAATAACACTTAGAATCGAACAGGGTGTTTGTATCGCAAAACCTGAATTTTATGTGATGAGCACAGCTGTTCAATAAGAAAGTTGTAGACCGAGAGCTGATTAACATCTTTTTCAAAAAAGCCTTTTTCATTACTATTATTTTTTTCTTTTCATTTACTAATGACACGCGACAATTAAAGGATGGCT